CATTGTTGGCGCTGTGCGGATTTCATATCAAGTTATATAAATATATAATTGATTCCACTTTGCCCTTGTTCTAAAGATTTCAAAAGAGTTCTGATGCACTCTCAATTGCATAAAATGATTCTTTCTCATCCCAAAGCCAACAAGACTGAAGAAAATCACCTGTGGCTGGAATAGCTGGAGGGGTTTCTGACTAGTTGTCTGAACAGTTGCTTTTGAACGACAGGGAGCGCGCAGGGGAAAAGACTTTGCATGATTCGGGGCTGCTGAGGATCATTGGAAACCTGATGACTTGTCAATGTTTCTCTATTTTTTTGCTCCTAATCATGCAATGTCATCTGGAGAACTAACTTTTGGTGTTTTTCCTATGGCCATGTCATGTGCTGGAATATTTACCTCCGAATGTCCATGTCATCAGCACTCAGTATACAGAGATTGAAACTAGGCATTATCAAGTTGTTTTAGGCCGATGTGTTTAAAAAAGCACTGCAGTTTTGCATCAACATGACAACCAAATATCGCAAATGTTTCATGTAGTTGTAGTTGTCAATAGCTTTTGATGTTCTGCACCAAACGCTGACCAACAAAAATTTCGCGCAGGTTTCGTGGGGGAAGGCTGAGGCCTTTTGTGCCGTGAGTACAGGGCAGGTATCAGTTTTAGTGTGAGATTGCTACGTAAAGCTGCCGCCCTTCAGGCTGGGCACTGATACATTCCAAAAGGATTTGGCCATGGCTTCAAGTTTCAGGTTTCCAAAGTAGAGTCCTGGCCAGTTGTGCGCAAGAGAAATGACAGACATGTGGCTCAACAGGCCAAGGGCATAGGAAGCTTGAAGCCTGTGACTTGTCCAGTGCAACGGTGAAAAATAGCGCGCGACGCTGTGTCAGGCACAGCGCAATGCACCACACAGCGCTGATTTTTGCATGCATTTTGTTGGTTCAGAAACTTCGCAGCTGCCCTGTCAAAAAGTTCAGAGTCTACTGTCCACGACCAAGCAACGCTGCAAATTACAGCGTGGCGTGGTGGAATTACAGCGTTGCTTGGTGGATTGCACTGCGCGTTGCACTTGATGCCCGCAATGCAAAGCAGGTGCAGCGGTGAGGCACACCGCATCCTTAGAGGGTGGAGGTGATTCTTTTTAGTGCTCACTAGTTCCAAGTAATTATGCATCTTATACGGAAGCCACCAGTGAATTGTCGCGAAAGTTTCGCGAATGTGCCGCTAAAGGCCCAGTTCCAAACTTGAGCCCCCCCGATCTCCCAAGCTGCATTACCTTGTGTTGGTAGCTAGCACTAGGGTGGCAGTGGGATTGAGTTGCGCATGACTCTATTCTAAGCCTCGTCGAGGATATTTCTGATCACTATGTGCTTCGTATTTGCATATACAGTTCAATCATGTTCAAGCGCGCCTGTTGACTAGACACGAGTTTTTAGAACCATGCTTCACCATGAGTCTACTAAAGATATTTTCCACAAAAAGTTGCCACTTGCCACTTCATCATGAAATGATGATCAGCCACCATATACCTTAGGGCATAGCAAGTGGGAACGGTGTGACGTTGTTTACATTCCTTATGCTCTCTAAGATCTGTGGCTTGGGAACCCTCGAAGAACAAAACAAAAATCATGCCACGGCTACTAGTTGCAGCCTGTTGTTTGTAACTTGAGGTGGTCCACGTGGCTGTGAGTTTCCAAACCTCTCAGACCATCTTGAGTGGAGGAGTCATTGAGGCGAATGGGCCTTTGGACGCCGGGGTGCCGCCGAGGAGTTTGAACTGACTTTACAGTGTTTTACATTCCCGGGAATTGAAGCCTTGTATGACAACGTTCCTGTACAAACAAGTGGTTTTCCACATCCATGATGGGTCCAGGGAGTGTTGAACCCCCAAAAAAGCAGGTTGAATATCTACAAAAAAACACACTATGATGGAGCAATCTACCATGACGTTGAGTTGAACTTGAATCTTCAAAGTGACCTATGATAGGTCACCTATCTGATTGGTTCCACTTAATTACTCCATGTGTTTTAGATTTTTTACTTGTGTTCCACCAAAGTTATTCAGTTGTTTGTTGGAATTGTTCAGCATGGTCCGGGTTTGTCAACATGGAGTTCCAGTATGACTGGCCGGTTTCGTTCTTTGCCGATCTTCCTGCTTAAAGTGAAAGTGGACCATGGACCACGTATTCCGGCGATCAAACATTCTTCACCGGGACCATTCCATGGGGGGGTCCCTCTCAAGCATATGCGGTCCGATGGACGTGGGGGTTGTCCAGGTAGATTCAGCAATCCAGTCGTCCGATGGTCCGATTTTTTTGTCCCTTTTCCTTCCGTTTCCTGTGGCAGATGAGCCGTGTAGACGACGTTCACGTTCACCTGCGCCATTTTTTTGGAGTGACGCGATGAGTTTCTGCTTTTCGTTGGGCAGGTGGTGGCTCCGGCAGTGTATGGTTTCTCCTGCGATGCTGCGGATGGTGGGGGGGGACTGGGAACGGGGTCCTCGGACCACGGTGGGGACGGCAGGAACTGGTCGTTGGGAGGTGTTTATTGAGATTGGCCAGTGGAGGTTGTGTCGAGTTGTCCCCTCCTCCATGGAAATTCGTGACTTTCCAACAAAGGTGTGAGTTCGCATGTTCTCCATGGAGTTCGCGTTGTTTCGAGCTAAGAATCCATTGTTGCAGAAATTGTTTTGGCACTAAGAATCCAGTCCTGCGGTGTTGAGAGGACTGTGGCAGGACCTCTCCAAAACCATTGATTTTTGATTGGACTTTTTGAGCAAATGAGCAAGCACTTATCAACGATTCCTGTTGAGCAGGACGGAGCATGTGATTGGTGATCTTTGGCGCGTCGATTGGTTAAGACAGAAACCAAGAAATACCAACACCGCAGTTGGTTTTGTGGACGCTCCCTCATCAGCCCTTTTGTGGGGAAACCTAGATCTCCCAGTTCCTTTAAAAGCGACCAGGTCGTGAATTCTCCAAGGATCCAGGTCCAGGTCAGTTCGAAACCACACAAGGGTTTCAGCAAGATATGGGTGAAGACTAGATGCCGCAACTCCCAAGTTTGGATGTAGTAGTCACGCGGAATCAGGCCCATTTATTTTGTTCAGAGCCTACGCAGCCTATGTATATAAGTTATAAGTTATAAGGGTAAAGAAACAGGTGCCGCATGCACGAACCTGGCCCGCAGATGAGCCGAAAGACGCCCCTTCGAAGATGTCTAGAAAGAAGATTAAAGAAGATGTCTAGAAGCCTCTCTCGCCTTGTTGCACCGCCAGGCCTGAAGCTCTTTTTCGCTGGTTTGCAATCCTGTGAGACGTTGGACGAGGGCTTCCGATTGATGCTGAACCAGCCCCCCGGCGTCGGAGGGCCCGAACCACGCATGGTCGCTCCACCCATCGAGCTGTCGAGTGTTGAGGAAAGTGAAGCAATCCCTGTGCCCTATCCTATGCCCGTCCTGGTCAGTGTCATGGCTGACTGGCAAGAAGGCTATTTCTTCAAGTTGGCCTCCAAGAGTTTAGCTTCTGTTTATTGGAACATGTCGTTCCCCAGACAGATATCAATCGATGTTGAAACGATGTTACACACAGGGGATGTATGTTTTCCTTTTGTTCGGACGTGCATGGCATACTTACCTTGTCACGACAATGCATACTTATAGGGTCTGTCCTATTACCTGTAACAGTCAGTAAACAATTATCACGATTTTTGGACAAGGCCTTTACTAACCATCATCATCCACTGTTAACAGGTAATAGGATAGACCCAACATACCTATATATCTAGAACCCATTTGACCTTTGTTTTGATAGGAAAAGACAATGTGTTGGCATGTTTTGGCTCCAAAACAGGAGTGACATGGATTCCAGTGTGTGTGTATAATATATATATATATTATATGTATTGGGTTTGCTAGAGCAAATTATAATGGATTCAGATGGTTCTCAGACAGTCCCATGGTACATGGTTCAATGCCATTTGCACAAGGTGGAGAGGATTAGGACAAAGCAAATTTAACATGAGCTGCAAATTTGAACTTCACCGGCTCGTGAGATATGGGGTGGGGTATCATGGGCATGCTTCCATTGGCTATTTCTAGTGACCCCGCTCAGCTCAGCACAGCTCAACAAGTCTTGTTTGAAAAAAGGGAATTCCCGACGCAACGCCGTGAGAGAGAGAGAGAGAGACATCAACCTACCCGTAAAAAGAGAACATACATGGAAATACCATCGCTTGAGAGGTCGTTCACGTTGAAGATCGTTGCCAAGAATCAGAGATTTTTCGAACATGTTTCGGTTCGGGATGGTTTCAGATGGGGAAGTTTGGGAAGTTGTAGTTAACTTGCGGTGTTGCATCAGATCCACCTGTTGCATAGATGCTGAAAGCACATCCACACAACGTCCGCCAAGGAGTGTCTCGCCCGGCAGCTACGCCTTCCTCATTGGCATGCGAACGCCCAGCTTCACGCCCTACACGACGCCCGACACGATAAGAGAAAGAGTTTGAAAGGGCTCTTCTGGGCACAAGATCAGAAGGTTCGTCAGTTCCATTCGAGTGACCCACCCTCTGGAAGTGGATAACGGCCTCCTGGTTGTCCACGTCCATGTTTGTTTCAGGGAGTGTAGAGGAATGAACTAGGTGCTGGATTGATACGAGTTAGAGGACGTGAGGTTTTTAACTGCACAGTTTTAACTTACGCGGATTCAACACACACACACACTCGAAGGATTCATGAGATCCTTTCACGCAGACTTCTAGTGGTTTTTAGTCTCATGTTGAAATCGATGATTGTGTGGTGAAATTAATCGTTGTGTATGCAACAATTCATCAAGACAGTGCTTTCGACGCACGTCTTGAGGGGGGCGTGGCTTTGTGTGCCATACTATTCTCACAGCCATTGCTTGTGCAGGTATGAGCTACCCGAGTCCTTAATGCTTAAAGAATCTTAAAGGATATTTTTGAGGTGGTGCACTTAGATAATAGTTCTCCGGAAGACTTGGGAAGAGCGTAACACCAGGGCGTGTTCTGATGCGGAACTCGCTCAGGAACTTGTTTGATTTGCTGCTCAAAGACTTGGAGGGCAAGGCGTGGGCTTGCTTCACTGGCCTTAGCTCCGCAGGATCATGCGTGCATGTTTGCATATTTTTGCAATGCGAGAGATCGCAACATGAACATATTAGCACCAGGTTGTACAGGTACACAACATGATGTCATGGTGTGTTGTGCATGTGTACATCCCAGATTGCTACAAATTTATCTCGGGATGATTACCATTTGCCCACATAGATTGGTAATATATCGTAACTGCATCTCCATGCTACGTACTCATTCAACCATGTTGCCTCAACATCCATTTGATCGACTCATCAAATTGACCCTTTTTCCTTGCCCCATCACTTGCCCGTTGCCCACCCATCGCACCCTCAGGTGGTGGACGCACGTTTGGCGCTGCCGGGGCCGCGGCTCATCCCGGGGCTCACCTTGGATCTCCCGGTGCTCACGAGCCTTGGCGAGCGAGTCGGGAGACCGTGGAGAGCGCGGCGTTTGATGAAAACATATATGCATTTTGGATGAAAACCAAGAACACTCATTATGCAGAGGTTTTACCATCCAATGGTTTTTTGGCATCTTCTAAGAGTCTACACCAAGCATAAACCAGCCCTCAGAAGCAACTAGATCCACCGGACATCGTTGGAAAGACTTAGTCCACTGAGCTTAAAGCCAAGCCTGAAATACATGTGTTTCTTGACCAATGCTGAATTGGCCAGTTGATGGCAAACATCCCTCGCATCCTCACAAGATTAGCTCCTTGCCAGTCATTCTTTGGACCTTGAATCTTCGGTCAAAAGACTTTAAGTAAGACTTTAGTTATTCACACGCCCACACAGTCGTGTCAAACACATGGCCTCAGACTGCAGGGAAACAAGCAACAAGTGAGGACCTCAAGAACGACGTGTTTCTTCCCTCTCGACCCGACCCGGATCCTGCGCCGGGAGCGGGACCCGAGGTTCGCGCGCTCGCAGCCGGGCAGCGACGCGGAGATCCGCGTGACGTTGAAGGTGGTTCAAACCTTGGATCCCTTGCAGGTGCCTAGAGCGCTCTGGAAAAGGCACATCCACCAATCAATTTGGATGTGCATGTCTTGTTCGGGAGGCCCCTCATCCAATCAGTTTGGGTCTAGGTCCCTGCTTCCAGGGAGTCTTCCAGGGAGGTCTCCCTCTTGGATTCCTTGCTGTTTTGGAGACCTGAACTGAGCCATTCTGTGGAAAAGTGAGTGGTACATCCTGAAACCCAGGTCCAACAGGGATCCGTTGAAGCGAGCGCCACTGAGCTCGAGCTCCGGAACCGATCGACTCAAAGGTCCAGTCAGCTGGAGGGTGCGATGAAATGGACCTCTCTGAAGGTACAAGAGCACGTTCGTACTAAGCAACCACTCCACGTTCGTAAAAGGGGAGGTACATCTGAAGGAGGTGTCCAAACAGGCCATGGGCCATGAGTCTCTTTGATGGTTTCCTGGAATATGGCGTCATGGACCATATATGCATGCATATATATAATATATAGATGTTTGGGGGTTTTCCGATGAAGGTGAATCTTTGTGAGGTCCAAGGGGGGGAGCATGCTAGAAGAAGGCATGGGAGCTGGCACAAAAGATGTTCACACCCGAAAAAGCTGAATGTCATGAAAGGCGTTCTCTGTTGGGAGGGGCCAGCATATAACCTGATTGCGCCTGGTTGTGGGGCAAGTGCTGGCAGGGATTGTGAGGGAGAAAGAGTGGATGGCGGAGAATATGGATATGATATGATATGATATTGGACACAATGAAGCCAGTGAGTACACCAGTAAAGGATAATGTATAAAGGTTTTTAGATGTTATTCATTTTTGATTGGCTGTTTGATCTGCTCCCTCCTTTATCAGCATCTTCTCCCTAGAAGCTTCTTGTTAGTAGTGATGGCCTCCAACCTAATAGCATCCACAAATGAACCTTCCCATGCCTTCTCCCGTTGCACCGGCGCCCGCCAGGTGCTGGGGCCCTTCCGGTCGGTGCAGATCGCGGTGCCCGAGCGCTTTACCCTCATCGTGCGAGAGCCGGTGCCTGGCCGTCAAGCGGCGCGAAAACCGGTGATGCGGTGTGTGTGCTGTGCGGCATATTCTCAACTTGCCGAATGATGGTCTGCGGCTGAATTAGGAAGAGATGAAGCCAGCTGGATTGAGATGCTACCTGCAAAACCTTCGCGTCGTCACATCATGGCCAGGCGTTCGCTTCCAAAATGCATCCGATTTCGCGGCAGTGTTCACTCATGGGCAGGTGACCAACTACGATGGTTTGCCAACGCCGGAAGTGAGCATCTTGTTTGGCGAGATGTTTGTGGTTTGAGACCTTCGAACTCCGAAAGGATTTCGAAGCACCCAAGAAGTGATCGGTCCGTCGTTCGGGTTCCGTCGTGGGAAGCGGTAAGCGCGGCTCGAACCTTGGAATTCGTGGGCTCAAACGTCGGCTCAAAGATGCTCAAAGAATCAATCGGTCTGGCAGACCACCCTGTGCTTTGTCATGCAGTTTGATATGGTTTGATCATTTATTTGGACCCTGAATAGGCCAAGCAACTCCGGCAACTATAAGTCATCAGAGTTCTCTGTACTGCTGGCAAACATGTATAGAATCGAGCATCGAACCGATCAAATCTTGATGTACCAGCCAATCCCATGTCCTAGTTGCAATTCAAATGAATGTTGACCATTCCGCAGAGTGCACCAAGCCCATTCCGCGAAGCCTTTCGCACTCTCCGGGTTGCGTTTTGGAGTGGATGTGTTTGTTTGTTTTCTGCATCTCAAGTCGAAATTGAAAAACATCGACTTGAATGAAGGGCTTTCGAGCGTGTGCTTTTTTTGCTGGGCTTGCTTGACTTACATCTTTTAGTCGTTTCGGTTTGCCATCGGCACTGTTTGTTTGAGGAAGCGAAAGATCCCCCCGCGAGCTCTCGAGGTTGGTATCACTTGTACTTTCTGGAGAAACTGGTGCGCGTCCCTCGGCAAAGTGAGGTCGTTCGACCATTTCTAGGAAGTGTCGGACATCCTAGAGCGCAGATTCTGTGTGTGTGAATTCTCAATGATGGTTAAGTGCAGTTTGCAGTTGGAAACATTCTACAAGATTCTGAGAAGGAGCAACCACTAAGTCACTAGCTGTTTCATTAACCACCATTAGTGAAACGATGTTAAACGGCTTGTTGATGACACATCGACTCCTCTTTGACACCACAACTGAAAGGTTCTGCTGTTTGTTGAGGTCGACTTGGTGGCAGATGGTGCAGAAGAGATCCCCCAGATCCCGGCCAAAGACTACCGTCTCGGTTTCAAGGCAGCGAGTGGGAGAGCAACGGAGCAGTTCCCGGGGCAAGTGCCTGATGTGCCGGTGAAGTTGGCTTGCAGACTGTTTTTGGGCTTCCTAAGATCCAGCAATCAAGTGCCCCATGAGTCCAAGAGCTCATCAAATTGTTGAGAGCGAAATCTGCTGTCCAATGCTGGTCCACCTGCGGGACCTCGGGACCCAAAAGGTTGCCGGACCAGCCGCACGGATCGATCTGCATCGATCAAGAGCCTCCTAGTGCGTATAGTGGCCCCCCAAATAGATAGAAACGGTGTCCATCGGTTTCCAATACTACATGTTGAATCATTTTTAGTGGGGATCTACTTTTCTATCTATTGTGGGCAGCAAACCATCTGAGCATTTGAACGGACACGCTTGGATGATCGCAGATGCGCCGTGCCTTCGGGGTTGGACAAAACCAGAGGCCCACCTGTTTGGCATCCTAAGGCCCCAAACCACCAAAAGCAGATGTTTCTTCAAACAGCCACTTGGATCCACTTGGTAGATCAAGAATTGCTGTTTGAATTGGATTGCTAGATTGTTGAATCTTGACTTCTGCCATCCATTTTTCTTGGTAGATCAAGACTCTTGACTTCGAGTCCTTGTTTTCAACAATCGATTTCTTTCTGTTTCCAGGTAAGTCTCGGGGTTTCCAGGTTTTCGTCTCCCCAGTCCGGTTGAGTTGTGTGGTGCAACTCCTGACATCGGATGAGTCGGTCCCCGAGCTCCCAACCGCACCTGCAGGTGCGGTTGCCGGAATTCTGGATGCCCAGTGTTAATGCATCCTGGATGCATTCTTGGTGCGGACCTCGAAAGTGGGGAATAAGAAGGAGCTTTTTGCATGTTGTTTAGGAATGGTAGGGGGAAAACCACAGCTCAAGACAAGGGAAGACGGAAGAACGATTGATGTTGAACAACGTTTGTTTCATGTCGGAGGCATCCCCAGATGGCTGTTGCCACTTGTCCTTGAAGACTTCACCAGCCTGAGGACATCGAGCTTGCCAAGAGCAAGATACCATAGATTTCCTTGTAGGGGTTGGTTGATTAATAGAGGGATAATGAGGGATATATATCCACCGTCGTATACAACCAACCTTTTTTGGTATTATATAGTACCTGGCACTGACCCCTTTGGTATTTCCAAAAGGACATGGCTGTAGCTTCACGCCCTACCGGTGACCGACTGTTTGACCGGTGGACCAGTCCTTCACGACTCGGCTGTGCCCGGCAATCCGAGGTTTGGACGGTCTCTCTGTGTGCCTCGGTGTTTGGCAATCCTCACTGGGCTTTTCGATGCTTTTAGGGATTGAGGCAACTGTAAACCAAGGATTGAATTACTGTATGATGGATGGTCCGCAATGCGCCAGTTGAATTGGATTGAATTAGGTCCATTTGAATTAGTTTGATGAACTCCACTGTCTGGTGGGAGAACAGTCAAATGGTGACTTTCTCATCAATGATGAATCAGATTGAATTGGACCACAGTTGTTTGCTCAAAGCCCGCCTTTGGTTTCCAATTCAGTGGATTGTGAGGGTTGCCTTCGGATTTCGAGGTTGCACCTAAGATCACAGTGAGGGCTGCATTGGCTGAGCTTACCCTGCTGGTGACTGTACTGTTCACAATCAGGGTATAGCTCAAGAATAGGGCCAGAAGAAAGAAACACTCGGTGGAAGTCGCGGTGGATCAAAAGAAATCTTGACCAAGATACCTCAAGATCAAAACAGGAAGCCCTCCTACTGAAAAAGAGAACTGTCGGACTATATCATGCTTTGGCCAGTTTTGGTCTTGGCTCTGACATTGGGGTTCAACCCAGGTCGAGATCTTTCATGCTCCGACTTGATCACCTCCTTGCAGCTTGCCAAACGGAGGGTCCGGACGGACGTGACGGGTCGGGTCCCAAAATTGGGATCATCCGGACCGTGTGGAAGGTTCTGATCCCGAAAACAGTCCAAGCATGAGGATGGTGAAGATCCTGAAACATCCTGAAACCATATCCGAAATCAAATCTCATTCCCATTCGACGTCGACCGGGCGACTTCATCGGATCGACGTCGACGGGAGCCGATCCGACTGACGCCGTCCGGGCGGGTGTGTCGCTCAGCTCTAGGGAGACCTCCCAATGACCCCTTGGAAGGTTCGGGAAATAGACCAGTCAACTTACCTAGTCATAAACACCCAGGTCGCAGCAGTTGCTTTTGCATCGTCCTTTTTTGCGGGGGACACCTGATTCATCCTGATTGTGTTGGTGGTCAAGGATTAAGAGCATGGATTGCTTTGCACGAAGATGGTCCAGGCATCTTAGACCCGCTATGTGGTCTGTGGAAGTGGTACAAACTTTGATTTGCTTCATGGAGTTTCAATTCGTCCACCCCCTCCCAGTCGTTTTTTTTTTTAAACGAAAGTTCGATCGCCTCGACTCTCTCCATGACCAGAGCGGACGCACCTCTTCCGAGCCTCTTCAAGGCCAATGGCCGGATTTGAATTTGGAGACCCTGGCTTCGAACAAGAGGAGGCCCACGACTGGTGGCGGGTGGGTGGGTCCGAGGTCGCACTAGAGGCAGACTAATAGGGTCACCGGCTTGAAGCAATTGGTGAAAGTTTATTCAACAGCGAGCAAAAAGGGACACTTGTGGAATGAACACTCAAGGAATATGGATTTGTGAACAGCCCCAAAAAAGCAATGTTTGGTGGGGAGATGTGAAGAAATTAACCTATGATTTTTGACAATACCTTTGTCGAATTGGTCCCAATTCCCTGATGGGGAGTATAAAGACGCTGTTCGGCCAAGCTGTACGGTTTGGCAAATACATTGAAACATGTATTTTGGGGGGTCCTTACATGCCAGACAGTCCAGTGGACAGCTGCCAGGTCCAAAGATGCCCACAATGTGTTGCACTCGTGTTTGGAGCCTCGAGAGCTTTCTGCAAGGAGGTGGTGGATCTTCAGCCTGGCCACGCGCAAGGTGGGGATGAATGATTGTTCATTGTTCAGATCTGAATGGATGTATGTTGAATCCATGACATGGGTGTTTGAATCTTTTTGACTAATTTGATTGCTTATATATTTCAATATATTATAATATATCCACATCCTAGGGAAAAGGAAGAATCAACACATTTCTTAGAGACATTATTGATTATATCGACCAATGAATATAAATGATTCCATCCAAATATTGATCAGGTCTGTTGAATAGATTTAATTTCTTGATTTTAATAATATTCATTTAAAATGAATTTAATATATTGTTATTGTTAATAAAGATATAATATATGGATTATATATATTTAAATTAATTTATATAAAATATTAGAATGTATAAATATATTTATATGGAAATTGATCGAAAATTCTATGTAAGGAATTTTATATAAAGTAACCTTTTAGATGTTATTAAATTTTAGATGTTATTAGAACCATTTACGACGAGGTTTGCGAAAATATTTATATTTTTTTTTGTTCGCGAAAGATTTATCGAAGGTTATATTGTATTATTTTCTGTTTTATTAAATTAATAAAGAATAGAATAGAAATGTAAAGTAATGCTCCGGTAGAGTTAGTTATTGGGCGGAAGTATATTTATATTTAGGAAAGGTTAGAATTTAAACCCGAATATATTTCGGTAGTATTTTTGTTCGAATGTGGTTTTTACGTCCGATTTTGGAAATATTTTTGCTTATTATATATTAAATTCTGCGAATGATGAATATATAATATATAATTTAAGTAAACGAAATTTATCCGATTATATAAATTCTCGTTAGATTACAAAAATTTATGTTTCGTCCGAATTGAAATATCGAATATTGCTTTAAAATTGTAAATTTGGGTGTTTTGTAAGTAATTTGCAATATTTGCCCGTGGGTTGTTTTTTAAAGACAAATCCTGGTTTAGGTAGATTTTCTTGAATTGGCAGAAATTTGAGCCTGAATGAGGATCTATAGATATATTATAGATTAACGAATTGAAGTCTTAACATTTAAGTGCCGAGCCCTGGCAGTGCGTAAAGGATTCTCCGATTCCTGTTCCCATTGTCACAGGCTAGCAATTTGGGTAGGTACAGCCCTGACAGTGAGGCAACGACCTGCAGCTGCTCTGACGGGCTGCGCAGATGTTTGCAAATATTACGGCTTCAAGGGGAAAGCACTAATGAAATTTCGCGAATGTACCGCTAAAGTCTAGGTTCCCAGCTTGAGGCCCCCCAGCGTTCCCTAAGTTGTATCACCCCCCAGCATTCCCTAAGTTGTATCACCCTGTGTTGGTAGCTGGCACGAGGATTGGGTTGAGTTGTGCGTGACTCTATTTGGCACAATTGTCGAACAGATGTTGCAAGTGACCCTGAGTAGTTGTGGAAACGTTTAACCATCTACTAGGGTTATGTTGCAAGATGTCTCTCCCTATTTTGTGATACTATGACATGTTCCGGCTCATGTTGGTTAGACATGGTTGTAGGACCATGCTTCGCGATGAGGCCGCGAAAGATCTGCGAAAGATATCTTTTTTTTCGCGATGAATGGCCATTCTAGGATGAAAGAATATTGATTAACCACCATATATTTTTTTAATTTCTCGATATTATATAAATTCTGGCTTGTGCTTTATGATAAGTTGAGCTAATATGGTGTCGATTTATCGAGGTTAAGCGATTTTCGGCTGATTTGTCGGATTTATTGGTTATATTTTTTTCCTTGCGGATATTATTCGTTGAAGGATTTTTTGATTATATGAAATTGGGATTTCGATGTTTTTTGAAGTATTTATAATATCATGTTATGTAGCTTAATACGAGCTTGAAGCGATTTAGATTGCAAGCGAAGGAATTAATGAAATATTTGTATATATGTATGAGTTTATATATATATATTTCGAAATTAATTAGGATATAACATTTATTTATTTACTAAATATTTTATTATATATAGATATTAAGAATTGAATTTGTAATATATTTAATATATATAGATACTATATTTATTTAAATTATATTTTATATATATTAAATAGATTTAATTCAAATTAATGAAATATATATATAAATTTAATATATTGATTATTTATATATGATATTTATAATATATATTGATAATATAAAAATATTAATATAAATATCTTTTGAAATAAATTGATTGGTTAAATATTTTTGTGAATTTTAGAAATATGCTAAGAGAATTAATTGTGAAATATATTTTTATAGGTAATGTTTTGAATTGATTTTAATAGATATTATGTATTTTTGGAATTGATATTTAATATATATTTATTTAATCGTTTATTTGATATTGAATATTTTCATTTTGTTGTAGTTTTTAAATGTATGAAGATATGTTTAGTAAATATTAATAAATTTTGATATGAATTTATATTGAATTTAATTATGATAAATAATATATATATTGTTTTTTATTGAATTTATTCGATTTGATTAATATATTTATGTATTCTTTTTAGAATATATTTATAAATTCATAAAATAAATATCGAATGTTTTTAGATTTAAGGTAATTATATATTTTGGATATGGGATTATTAATTCGTATTATATTAAAATTTTTATTTTATTAATAATATATTATATATTTAGATTTTAAATTGGAGGTTATATTTGATCGAATATACGAAGGATGATGGGGACCTAGAGTCTGGGATCCTAGGCATATGCGATTAATGCACATCTTGGCATCAAATTCTTTTCGAACATTTAGCCTTTTAACGAATCTATAAATTCCGTTGCATCATATTATGCAGATGATTTATATATCTAAACACCCCATATAGCGTCATAAAAATTAAGAGATCATTAGGTTCGTCTAAATCTGAATCTGCAATATATTATTGATGTAGCAGATACATCCATTGTTGATCTAATTTGTGTATATTAAGCCTTTCATAATTTATGAAATCGTAGGGAGAAAATATCAAGGGTGATCGCTAGAAATGAATCTAATGGATCCTTATTAATATCAATTGAGAGATGCCGAAGCTAATTACCTTACGCAATAAAGAATACAATTCCAATGCCTCCGGCCTCCAAGATTTAAATCGAATCGCCACGGGAATATTATCGCTACAACCGGAAAAAATAATCCTAAAACAAAATTAAAGAATCTACTTAAGCCCTCCTTAATACTACAACAGGCAATTCCTTCCCTTAAAAAAGATATATTCCCCAAATCCTGGAATTTTTCCATAATTTAAAAGATACGAATATTTAAATTCATTTATAAATTTAAATTCCACGCACTTTACCAAAATATAACCGATATTTATCCAAAAAAAACATATTTTCATACGAATTAAAACGAACGATTAAAGATATTCGCTAGCAAATCAATACACATATAAATATATATAGAAAAATTCAATTAATATATTTGTTAGTCCAAAAAAGACATCCTTCACCTCTCGAATCAAAATTATATATGGTTTATATAAATTCCATCTCCTCGTATGCCTCCTCCTCCACGATCAAGCATTCCAAAATTCCCGATCAAACATTCCAAAACGAACATCTCAGATCTCAACCCGCAAGCTTTAAATCCAAATATTCCCTACCTATCTTCAACCAGAATACCCAACCACATCCACAATCACAACCACACAACCACAAACCCACAACCACAAACACAACAACAAACACACAACCACAAACAAACGCAACCACAAGCGCAACTACAAACACAAAACCACACAAATACAACCACAAACACACAACCACAAAGACACAATCACAAACACAGAATCACAAACACTATCACAAACGCAACCACAAACACACAACCACAACCGCAAACACACAAACACAAAGACATGATCACAAACACAGAATCACAAACACAATCACAAACACAAACACAACACACAAACAGAACCACAAACACAACCACAACGACAAAGACGCAACCACAAAGACAACCACAAACGCAACCACAACGCAACCACAAACGCAACCACAACCACAAACACACAACCACAAACACACAACCACAAACACACAACCACACAAATACAACCACAAACACACAATCACAAACACATAACCACAAAGACATAATTACAAAGACACAATCACAAACACAATCACAAACGCAACCACAAACACACAACCACAAACACAAACACAACCACTACCACTACCACTACTAACTACTACTACTACTACTACTGCTACTACTGCTACTGCTACTGCTATTGCTACTGCTACTACTACTGCTACTGCTACTACTACTATTTCATATTTACGAAAAATGCATTGTAATATGGCCATATAATTAATATTTTAATAATTATATATTATGTTCTATGAATCCCAGAATTTCAATAATAATTGATCGACTTACCATTTACATTACGAAAATATATCATGAAATCATTAATGATATATACAACATTTTCATAATTGGATTATTATAAATTCCAATTTACCAAATCTTTTATATCATCAAAAATTATAGAAATATTACGATACAAGAACAATACCAAAAATAACATTAAAATAAGAAAATATATTCCTAATCTTATATCATATATATTAAATCCCAAAATAATGTCTATTTTATAAATGTCATATTTAATTTACAATATTCTATCATGATATTTAGATAATTTCAATATTTACAATTAATTTTTCATCAAACCAATTCTATTACTAAAATAAAAGTAAATTCATTACCATTTCCTCCTCAAAATAATCATCCAAATTCCATTTATTTATCCTCATCAAAAATGTATATAAATATTAGATTCTTTAATCATTTCATGCATTCCCTAATATATACATAAATATATTTTTTATTTCATTATTCGGCAATCTCGGCTGCCCGTCAGGAGCTGCGCACGTAGATCAATAATCTATGACGAATAGTTTACGATCATCTAGTGGCTCAAATTCATTGCATCGAAAATTCAAAATGAGAATTATCCATCACAAAAAATAAATCAAAACAAATCAAACAAGGCGAATTCCCCACTAATGGTGCGGCAAATCGGCCATCTCCAATGTTGAATTTCAAAAATCCATAGACACGAGCCACAACAAATAACAATCGTCAAAAATAATATACTCAATCACTAAGAACATTCATGATTCAAATATATCTATTCCCAAGAAATACATATACCAAGCATCTAATGCCCGTTATCCGGGCATTCCCCTCGACCACATAATAATTATACCCCAACCTATGGCATAATCAAAAACAAACAAAATTATTAATATTAAATATATCATTAATA